AAAATAACTCGATCACATTTTTTCAGTTTTATACAGTTTTTTTTCACAATATATTGAAGTAATCACTTGTCAGTCAAATATCAAAAGTCAGTTTAAATCTTCTTTTAAATATATTAATTTCCTGCTATGCGTTCCAGTTGTACCAACTTATTTCTTTGTAAAATAAAATATAAACTACTTTGAAATTAAAAAGACAGACACATCTATCACTGTCAAGGATCTTCTCGTTGGACAGACTATAATTCAGTCATTGGGGATCAAAAAAAGGGCCTGCTTGGAAAAAAGTCCGGAAGTTTTGAAACTTTGCAGGTTTATGTTTGATGAGGGCAGAATTAAAGAGAATAAAATTTCCTGTAAAAAAGGTTCTATAAAAATTTTCGCTAAAGTCGACCGTTTAGGCACAAAATCCATGGGAAATTTACAATTTTGCGTAAAGTGTGATATATGTATAGTCGATTTTCCGAAATCAAAAATGTCGATTAGGGTTCACTAAAACTAGTTTTAGTTTAGTTTCTTCAATTTGGTCATGAAACAGTGGCGTATCATTAATTGGCTTATTAATCTATGAATAATTAATTGTCGTGCTGGACAGCATTCACTGCGAACTTACCACCAGGTTCAGCATTAGTCTGGTTGTACCAAAGATGCCGAAGAATGGGGTGGGAAGAAAACAAAAACAGGCATTACTTGTTAATGTTGACAGATCCAGCTCCAAAATCCCTATTGGCATTTTTATCCTGTATGCAAAACCAACAACTGTGGTAAAGCCTGCGGATGCAGAAAAGCAGGATTAAAATGTTCAATAATTTGTGCATACTGCAATAGGAAATCCTGTTACAACGTCACTGAAGTGTCACTCGACGAATCCGATGAAGAGGAGTTGGACTTGCCTGTAGATATCCCTCTGGCGGCTGAAGATGGAGAGTTGGACGAATTGAGACACCACCCTGATGAACCCAGCACAGCAGACACGATCGGCTTTGAAATCAATGAGCCAGGTCCGTCGGGCTTGTGCAGATAAGTTAAAGTTTTTAATTTACCTAGTAGAGTAGGCCTCCGGGGACACCACGTTAAAATAAACGCGCCATGTACTTTACCTCTTGAGTGGTGTGGAAACAAGTAAGTACACATTTTCAATAATTAAAATTAATTATTCATAAATTAATGAGCGAATTAATGACACGCCACTGTTTCATGACAAAATTGAAGAAACTAAACTAAAACTAATTTTAGTGAACCCTAATCGACATTTGATTTCGGAAAATCGACTGTACAGGGTGGGTCAAATTCGACGCTTTTAAATGGAAACGCCCTTTTCTATAGGAGATAGACGAAAACTAATATCGGTGTCTGGAGCTCAATTTTTATCAAAAACATGATGGTGAAAACCGTACATCAATATCTGTTACCGTTTCGGAGTTACGGGGTGTTTTTCAAAAATGTGCATTTTTAACAAATCGCTGTAACTTTTTTGCTATGGAAAATTTTGTATTTCTATGAAAACATTTCCAAAGCACCTTTTTACGTAGGATTTAATGGTTTAAGTATAATTTTTTTAAAATTAATAATTTAAGAGTTATCAACAGAAAAATTGATTTTTTATTTGGGACATCCTATATATTTTTAATTAACTGAAGAGAATTTAAAATTACCTTTCCAAAAATATAGCACACTTGATATTTTGTTATAATCCCCTTCGAAATATAGAATTTTTAAAAGCTCGTCACTTTTAACTAGTAGGCTTTGGACCCCTTATTGATGATATGCCTTTAATGGAACTAGAAAACAGATTTTTCCAGCAAGACGACGCACCGCCTCTGAACGCTGAAGTTTTCAGCAAATTTTTGCAGCCAATTTAAAGAATAATTGAATAGCTAACCAAGATCTCAGCCGTTGGCCGTTGGCCTGACGCATGACGGATCTAATCCTATGGATATATTTGCGGAAGAATAAAGGTTCCTTATTCTTCCGTATAATCTAGACAAGAATTAAAAATACTTAGCAGTTATAAGAGAGTATCTTTCACCCCCACTCTGTTAATGAATACTGCGAGAAATGTTCAAAAACTGCCCCGTCTGTCCATAACAGAAGACGGTCGATATGTCGAACACCTGTAGCAAAATCTCATGTCTTGGTTTCCTACTTATTTTTATTGTTATTAGATATAGTTTAAATGTGTTGATGTTGGTTAAATATAATTTAAAATGTTATAAAATTCTGCATCTCTCATAGCAAATATTATTTTCGTTTTAATTGATGCTCACAGCTAGAATTTTTTTGCATTACAGCCAGTGCCGTTCAAAGCCTACTTATTTAAAGCCGGCGAATTTTTATATACTCTATATCTCGAAGAGGAATCGAGCAAAATATCAAGTGTGTTATATTTTTGGAAAGGTAATTTTGAATACTTTTCAATAAAGTAAAAATATACAGGGTGTCCCATATAAAAAATAAAATTTTCTGTTGATAATTCTTGAATTATTAATTTTAAAAAATTATACTTAAACCATTAAATTCTACGTAAAAAGGTGCTTTGGAAATGTTTTCATAAAAATACAAAATTTTCCATAGCAAAAAAGTTACAGCGATTTGTTAAAAATGCATATTTTTGAAAAACACCCCGTAACTCCGAAACGGTAACAGATATCGATATGCGGTTTTCACCATCTTGTTTTTGACAAAAATTGAGCTCCAGACACCCATATTACTTTTTGTCTATCTCCTACAGAAAAGGGTGTTTCCATTTAAAAGCGTCGAATTTGACCCACCCTGTACATATTATCATATTTTACTCAAAATTGTAAAATTTCCACGGATTTTGTGCCTAAACGGTTGACTTTAGCGAAAATTTTCATAGAACCTTTTTATAGGAAATTTTATTCTCTTTAATTTTGCCCTCATCAAATTTTTGCGAAAAAACGCATAGTTTTCGAGATGTTTACAACATACTGATTTTGGGCGCCATCTTGGCAAGATGGCGGCGCCGGCGGCAAGTCTAGAAATGTGCATTTTATGGATTTTAGTTAGGGACCCCAAAACCTATAAACCTGCAAACTTTCAAAACTTCCGGACTTTTTTCCAAGCAAAAATCCCCAGTGACTGAACTAAAGGGTCAGTCATTATTTTGTATATCTTGTTGTTGTTGAATCTTTGTGAGTAATTCTCGTTTTTTTGCCTATTTTCATAGTCTTTTTTTAAAAATTGCACTTTTAAGCACAAAAAGGTTTTTTAAGAACTAAATTATCGAGTTTTTGTATTAGATTTCTTGAAATAGTGTGTTGAAAATATGCCGAAGCATTTAAACAATCGAAGAAAAGAGCTTGTAGCCTCGTGACAATAAAGGTCCTTTATTACCCTTGACTGCAGTCAGAAAAGTAAGTTTGATTGATAAGCACATTATACCACTTTCTAAGTTAGTTTTTATTAAATTCTGTGATTATTAGTTTGTGCATTTATAGCACCCTCTTACTTGTTATTACAACTTATGGTTTTGTAAGATGTACATCAATAAATAAATAACCCATAATAACGCTTATGATAATCTTCATAATGCAGCCCCGGATCTACAATTTTTTCCAACCGGGGCAAAAAATTGATAATAGCGCCCCCTCTCTCCAGCGCCAGCGTTTGAAATAAATTAATTTAAAAAACTTATAAATATCTAAATATACAGTTCATATCAAATAAACTTTTAGTCACGTCATTAAGCTTGACCGGCACAGCGTTGTCCACTTTTATATATTTTCTTTTAATCAAAATATTTTAGGTAACAAAAATAAATTAATTATAAATATATCAACAGCTATTATTTACATCAACAGAACTCACCTTCTTAACAACAGTTAAGGGACATAAAGGACCATTACTGCTGCTTTCCGATAATAAATTTGCGATGAGTTTAAAAGTTAGGTTAGTTTAAAAGAGGTTCTAAAAAGAACAATGTTCGACTGCAAGGTCTGCTAGTAAACATTTTTGAGCTTAAAGTATCAAAACACTATTTATTTAACCCAAAAACTCGTAATACAAAACTAAAGTGTTAAAACGAATGACAATGTCAGGAAATAAATAAATAAATGCGGCAACTTGACATTTTTTTACAGCAGAGCTACCACCTGAATCCCCAGCGCGAATGTTAAATTCTAGTTAGTCAGCACGGCGTCGAATATGTCCATGGTTGGCACCAATGAATTTAAAAATCGCGCTCTCGATTACGTAACTAAAAAAGGCTAAAAGTTTAATTGATATGAAATATAGGTAGGCATTTTTCGTAAACGGGACAGTTTAGACTAACTGGACGTTTTAAAATTAAATGAATACTTGATAGAAGAACGTAAGGTGCATACTAGGCGCTTTGTGGAGCAATTTTTTTTTATTTTCAACCATATTATATTATGATTTTGGCGCCCCCTGACACTGGCGCCCGGGGCAGGCGCCCCCGTTTGCCCCCTTCCTTAGATCCGGGGCTGTCATAATGGTCTAGTTTTTGCTAATATGTACAGTACGTCTGTCCGTTCTGTAGCTACGGGGTATCCGTGAGAGGGGAAACGATATTCTCTCGATGTTTTTCGTAAAAAAATAGACGACGCGTCCCATCAATAAAAATTCAACAAATTTGCAAGTAGCCAATAAAATGAGTGGGCGGAGCGATTTGCGGTGACGCACTCGTCAAATCGACGTATAAAATATATTGCTGTTTATTTAAATGTTTTTTGTCCGCATTCCTTTCATAGACACAGATCCAGCAGATGTACTGTAATAAGTAAAATAAGCTATAAAACAAATAAATCAATTAATCACTAAAATATTAGTTATTAAATTAAAAATAAAACGTAAAACTTAAAAAAAAATGATATATTATTATATGTTGTTTGTCAATTTTAAATTAAGATTCATCTCATAAATCCATTACAATCTGGAAGCGTTGTCGCCATCGCTTGTCGCTCAAAGTTGATCACGTGCATCGGAAATTGTTTTGCGATTAGCATATGTATAATACGTACATTTAGGCGTCGATTAGGACTTGGGTCCCTAGATGCAATAATAGGGCTTGATAAATTTGCAGCCATATTAGGGGCCAGAGTTTTCGTATATTTTATAATCCTATCTGTATTTCTTTGAGAAATTTCTTTGTTTTTGCCTGTACCAAGATTATGAATTTTGGGTCCTGAAGTAAAGGACTTCCTAAAGCGGTTCTTACATAGATCCTTACCTAAAATTGAAAAGAACTTAAAATAAGTATTATTGTATTTTAAAATCGAAACAATAATGTTAAATGGAATAAGAAGTTTGATCTAATAATATTAATTGTATTATTGAATCTTTCTATGAAATTGTTTTAAAATCAGATCGCAGGGACAAAATTAAATAATGGTTTAGGTACTATTTCTAAATCGTCATGAAAAATCCATTATAATTTCAGTTTATTGAAATTTCTATCTAAACTCGCTACGGCACAAAAAAAAGTGTGTCGTAGCAATTGGAATACATAGGAATTTATTCCTATTTCGTTTTCATATACAGGATGTCTCAAAAAACATGTGCCATCTCTCGTGGGGAGTTTCCTCGCGTAAAAATAAGATTTATTTTTCATATCAATATAAGTCCGATTCTGCTTTGTTTCGTAGCTACAGAGTGTTAAACTCTTAATATTTTTGTGTGAACTCTGTTTTTCTATGGTACGTTTTCTTTATCTGACGTAAAATAAACAAACATTTAAAAAGCCGGGGCGCGATGGAATTCTGAACGTAAACAAAAACACTTTTCAAAAAGGTTTCAAATAACACGCAATACAGTATCACCGTCTAAAACAGTATTAGACAGCGGCATAGAAAGAAGTGGTACGCGCTTATTAAATTAAATTTATTAAAGTTTCTCAGGTTTAATTAAGTTTTTGTGGTAGTTCTGAGTTCCATTGCCGTGCTGAATAAGAAGTTTAATTAAGGTGAGTTTATTTTAACTCACTGAGCAACTAGTTGGTTACTGTTTATTGTTTTTATTGTGATATATTATAATTTCTCAATCTCAGATAAATTTTAAGATATTTGATTGATAAAGAAAAGGTGATTTGCAGATGATGATATTGAAGTATTTCGTTATACTGATTTATTTATATTTGTCTATGTCACTTTAATAGAAGATAAGAATATATTTGTGTATCGATATTATTATCAAATTGATCTTTATTGAATTATGTTTAGCTTTATTACTTTCTGCAGTTAGCCTTTGTGGCGCATTTGCCTGTGTGGCGTAGTTAGCCTATGTGGCGCTGTATAGCGTAGTTAGTCTTGAGAAGTAGTTAGTCCCGTAGCATTAACTTGTGCATTACTGTGTGGCGTATTCTCTGTGTGAGAACAGTCTTTGTGACTAGCCTGTGTGGCATATTCTGTGTGAGAACAGTCTTTGTGACTAGCCTGTGTGGCATATTCTCTGTGTGAGAAGAGCCTTTGTGACTAGCTTGTGTGGCATATTCTCTGAGTGAGAACAGTCGCCTGTGTGGAAGATTCTCTGTGTGAGAATAGTCTTTGTAACTAACCTGTGTGGCATATTCTCTGTGTGAGAACAGCCTTTGTGACTAGCCTGTGTGGCATATTCTCTGAGTGAGAACAGTCGCCTGTGTGGAAGATTCTCTGTGTGAGAATAGTCTTTGTAACTAACCTGGGTGGCATATTCTCTGTGTGAGAACAGTCTTTGTGACTAGCCTGTGTGGTGTATTCTCTGTGTGAGAAGTTTGTGTGACTACATGCCTTTGTGGTATATTATTGTTTTTAAACATGTATATTTTATGTTGGAATATTAAGAAACTCTTCAAGAACCTGTTTAATGTTAAATTCGCCTCATTTTAATAATAACTGGTGACATTGTTGCTCACACTATTTTTCTCTTTAATTGCAGGTAGGTCATCTTGGTAGCCAGGTCATACAAGACTTTTGTTGCTATACTACATTTGTCCATTTGCAGAGCCCAGATCAAAGTTAGCTATTATCATTAGTAACGTACCATCTATTAGTATTATTTTTATTTTATATTATTAGTTGTATTTTATTATACAACATTTACGCCCTTTAAATTTGTTTTATAGTTTTTTATTTTTAATTTTGAGTTGACCGCTTAAAAAAACTTCTTCGCCCTTACATTTTTTCGATTTATTCTAATTTTCTTCCAAATGCTTTTAGCGATTCCAATCAAATTTTGAGGGTTAAAGTTACTATAAATGCGACATATTTTAAAGTTAAAAAAGTGTCGACATATTCACCAGGGACGTGTATATGGGTTATCATTGGAATATTTTTCTAAAAAAGCATGTAAGCCACTAACTTTCTTTTCTCTTTTTAGCGAAATAGTGTAAGCACTTTAATGCCAATTAAAAGTTGTCTCTTGATATTTTGTTGATTTCGGTCTCCTTGATGAGATAAACACAATTTTATTAATTTGCCTTCAATCAAGTCTAATGGCAACCTTTAAAAAATGTTAATATTATTAACTTGCGAAAGCTTTAAATAATTACTCATTGATTCCTCATCAAAAAAAATATAAAAAAAAGTTCTCATAAACATGGGTAAGTATGGAAATGCATAGTTTTATAGTTACAGAATGTTAAAAATTTTTAAAATTAAGATTTTTATAATTATCTTAAATACCATTAATTTTTATTTCAAATTGCTGTAGGTTGAACAAATAGTAATAATAACTAATAAAAATAATATTTAATAATAAATTAGATAAAACATGTATTTTATTAATTTTATTTTTATTTTAATTTTATTAAATGTGATTAATTAAATTGCGTTTTTATCATCAAGGAGGCCGAATTCGACAAAATATCAAGAGGTAACTTTTAATTGGTATTAAACGGCCTACACAATTTTCATATCAAAAGAAAAAGTCAGTGGCGCACATGTTTTTTTTTTTGGAAAAATATTCCAGTGATAACCCATATGCACGTCCCTGATAAATTTATCGACACTTTTTTAGCATAAAAATACTTATAGTAACTTTTACCCTCAAAATTTCACTCGAATCACTAAAAGTACTTGGAAGAAAATTATAATAAATCGAAAGATTGTTAAGACTTTAACACCCTGTAGCTACGAAACAAAGCAGAATCGGACCTATGTTGATATGAAACATATATTATATTTTTACGTGAGGACTCTCCCCACGGAAGATGGCACATGTTTTTTGAACCACCCTGTATAGGAAATAGATAGGATTTTTTCGATTGGACAAATAACAAATCAGAAAACAACAGTTTAAACAGTTTTAGTAAAACACATTCTCAGTTTTAGAAGAAACGTCCACAATTTTGTTACAATCTGACGACAATAATAATGATATAAAAAAAATTCTGATCATTTTACGTAATATTAAGTATTTTAAATGTTTTGATTTTAATAAATAAGACTTTATAAAGGGTGCTACAAATTATAGGTACGAGCATTGATATCTCGCTAACCGTAATAGATACGAATATGGTTAAATTGGGGCAAAGTTGCGCTTTGGGATGTTCACCAAGATGCCATCCCAAAAGTTAAAAATTTCAAGGATTGCTTAGTTTTTTGGAAAAAACGGTTTTTTTGAAAATCAATTATATTTTTTGCTGTCGTTACTTTTTAGAAAATCTAAAAACTAATTGCACATTTTCATTGTGCCACATTTCCACTATGAAGGCTACCTGATCATATTTTTAGATTTTCAAATTAGCTGATAATTTGTGAGTTACAGAGGCCAACTTAATTTTTTTTTAATACGGACCTGCATTTTTTATTTTAGTTTTTGAAAGAACTCGGTCTCCTGAGTACAATGATATGCCACACTTTATACTTTTTTTGGTTTTGTTTCCTTAGCAACAACAAAACAATTTAATTATTATTTAAAATAATTTCAAGTCCGACTCTGGTTTTTTAAATTATTTAATGTGATTATATTCATTGCAACAATATTTATCAGTGCTAATTAATATAGAATAAGGAAAATCGAGCCAATTGGAAGATTCAAATAAATAATCAGGGCACCAATTTAAAGATATTATTTTTAATTTTTTTATTGTAAATTTGAAATCTCAGTGTGCGATCTAATAATATGCATAATATTAATTGAAGTTATTATAAATAAATCAACTTCTACAAACTAGTTTCTAATGCTCTACATGTTTGAAAGGGTTAGAAAGCGTTACCACCCTCCCTATTGTACAAATTTATTTTTCGTTCAATTTTATTTATAACTCTCAACTTTCTTTTTATACTTCCATGCATTTTGTATTCTTTATTGTAAATATTGAGATGTATTCATTTTACTTTTACAAGTGACGTCAAGTAATATCCCCCCCCCCGCCCCTTGTCGACAGGTCCAGGAACCTCGCTGGCCATTATACTGTTCTACCATTTCCAATCCATCTTTCGGGGAAATGATTAGATTGTTTATATTATATCAATGTTTTACCCCACGTGATTTTTAAGTTTGACAGCTTATCAATATTGTAACGATGAATAGATTAAATATTTAAAAGAACAGAACCGGACTTGGAAGTTTTTAATAAATTGTGTTCAAATGTCCGAAACAAAAAAAATTAAATGTGACATATCATTGTACTCAGGAGACGGGGTTCTTTCAAAATCTGAAATAAAAAATGCAGGTCCGTATTTAAAAAAAATAATTTGGCCTCTGTATCTCACAAATTATCAGCTAATTTCAAAATATAAAAATACTGTCAGATAGCCCTAATAAAGTGGCTATGGGAATGTGTAATTAGTTGTTTTTTGATTATCTAAATAGTAACGACAGGAAAAAATAAAATTGATTTTCAAAAAAATCCGTTTTTTTCCAAAAAAACTCAGCAATCCTTGACATTTTTAAACCTTTTTTGAAGGCATCTTGGTGAACATTCCAAAGCGAAACTTTGCCCCAATTTAACTATGTTCGTATCTATTACGGTTACCGAAATACCAATGCTCGTACCGCGAATTTCTAGCACCCTGTATATAGGTGTATAAATAAATAAAGAAAAAATATTTTTATCGGCCTTTCTTAAAAAATTATTCAAAATACAAGAAATGCCCTAAAAGCAAAACTATAATATTAGGTATTTACTTTAGATGCTCTGTGCTTACTTTGCTATACAAATAGTAATCTTAATCATACAGGGTGTTTAAAATTCTACACCAAACTTTCTAAAATATAAAAAAAAACTTTTCTGGAACACCCTGTATATTATTTTTCTACTGGATGGAAAACTAAAAAATGAACTTGTTTTGTATTTATGGAGTATTTCAAATTTTTTAAGGGTTTCGCAGATACTCTTGGTATTTTTCATATATCTCTTTCAACGACGGTAAAATACCAGATAAAAATCATTGGTGTCTATAATAAAAGTTTTTATTATTTTTTTATTACGGAAAATACCATATGAATTATAAATGGCGAATATCTGTATCTGTATCTCAAAAATTAAATACTCTAAATGCCAAAAATGTTTATTTTTTAATTCTCCATCTATTAGAAAAATAATATACAGGGTGCTTCATTAAAAAAAAGCAAAGAAAATATATTTTATATTTTAGAACGTTTGGCGTAGAATTTTGAACATCTTGTATAAGATTACGATATTTATAGCCAAGTAAGTACAGACCATCTAAAGTAAATGCTAATTCTTGTATTTTTAATAATCTTTTTAGAAAGGCTGAAAAATAATATATTATATTTTTTATTTATTCATATCTTTGTAGCACCCTGTATACCCTACATCTTTTGGGTATATATCAGGTATATACCCAAATTTCTTTATTATATTAGATATTTGCCCACCGCCCGTCACTGGTCTTAAGTACTACTAAAAGGTACAAAATTGGACATCTTTTAGTAAGTGGATCTAAATGTTTATCTACATCTCTACTCGAACAACTTTACCGGGGCGGGTAAACTGCCAAAATTGTACGTAAGCGGTTTTTTTACATATAATCCTTGTCCTGTGTGTATTTGAAAATATACACAACCAAACTTATATGGAATCATCTATTATTTTTCATAATTTTTCAGATGTATGAAAATTTTGTGTTTATGAATAAAACTCGGTCCTTACTAATGACTTTTAATGAAAAATAATCCATATAGCAATAAAAAAATAATCAATTCCGAAAATAAACAAAATGGTATTTTTTTGGTTTCTGAAACGAAATTAAGATTTAAATTTTTAATGGCCAAAAAGTAAAAACAAAAAAAAATTGATAATTTTAATATTCCTTGATACCACCTCTAGCCCTTATACAAGCTTCTATCCGCACTGGCATGCTTCTTATTAAATTATCATCGTTGTCTTGGGGTATGTTTTCCCATTCTGGTAAGGCTGCATCAATAAGATGTGCAAGACTTCCTGGATTGTTTCGACGAGCTCTAACCCTTCTTTTGAGCTAGTCCCACAAGTGCTCGATAGGGTTTAGATCTGGTGAACATGCAGGCCAGTCCAAAACTATGACATCTTCCGTTTCAAGACATTCTCTAGTCACTCTGCTGGTATGGGGAGGTGCACTATCGTACAATAAGTTAAACTTATCCCCAATTGCAGCTTTCCAAAGACTAACAATTGGTTCTAGCACCAAATCAACATATCTCCGACCCGTTAAAGTTTGTTGAAGTGGTAACAATTTTTGCTTCTAGTGTAATACCTCCCCAGAACATTACGTGAAGGCATCAATTTAGCCGGTCAGCTTTATTTTGCCGAGATAACTGTGGGATCCGTAACTCTCTCCTACTGTAAAACCCTTGAGCACGAAGCCTTTTTCTTATGGTTTCAACTGATTTATTCTAGCAATTTGGCACACAATGCGGTCTTATTGTTCAGCTGTGATTCTTTGACGACTTTGTCTGGTCCTATCCTTGTGTATTCCTAATTCCAAGTCCCTTGCATATGTTTTCGATACAACGTCCTGGGTAACGCCTACTATCTATGCTACGTCTCTTTGGAGCATTTCTTGTTCGGTGAGAGCAATAATTTTTCCCCTCTATACAACTGTTAATCCAACATAAGGCATTTTTTAATTACTTTGGATCGAATGAAAGTTACCAAACAATCGTGATTTTACTGCTTAACACAAAATTCAAAAGAAAATAAATCGCAGGAGTTGTTTATTCTTTATTATCATGTGTATTACAGTTGAGGGTTGGAACCTTTGGTGTTACACAGCAAAATAAAAACACTAAATCACCACAATACACCAAAACACTTTTACTTCTACACTGGACGCGCGTTTCGCTAACCATGTTAGCATCATCAGCAGATGATTATAAACTAGTTTATAATCTAGTCTTTATAAACTAGTTTACTTAATCTGGTCTTTATAAACTAGTTTATAATCATCTGCTGATGATGCTAACATGGTTAGCGAAACGCGCGTCCAGTGTAGTGTAGTAAGTAAAAGTGTTTTGGTGTATTGTGGTGATTTAGTGTTTTTATCATGTGTATCTAAAACAAAATGCCATATATTAAATTTGTATACCAGTTTTTATCCTCAAGAAATTTAGTCAGAAATAATAATAATAATAAATAATAATAATAATAAATAATGATTTTTATTGTATAAATAGTAATATTACAAATATACAATATTACACAATAATTGGTAGGAGTTTGGCGTTAGCCACTCTTCCACTCCACCATAAAATAAAAGTAAATGATTCTGCACTTAGAATTCGAATTATAAAAAAAATGCAAAAGAATAATTACAATAAAGAATATATTTTTTTTAAACAGCTGATCATTAAAACGATGTTAAATTAATTTAATTAGTAGACAATAATGTATTATTTTTAATTAGCAAACAAACGATTTTTTATCTCAAATTTAAATCTTGAAAATGGTGAATCTAGTATATCCAGTATTGGGTTTAAGAATAAAGGTGCCTTATAGGAAAAACTACATTTAAATTTTGAACTATATTGCCGCGGGACTGTAAGAGTATTTAATCTAATATCTCTACTATGGATTTCTGATCTTTTTATAAGTAAATTGTATAAATATGGAGGAACTTTGTATGTATAGACTTTATATAATAACATAATATAAAGGTATTGAAAACGTAAAGAGAGTCTAGGCTCATTCAATTTAATTAAATGAGGAGTTACGTGCTCTCTATATTGTAGATCACAAACAAATCTCGCCGATGCATTTTGTACTCTCTGTATTTTTGCTTGGTTGTAGCTTGTCAAAAAACTGTAATAAATCTGACTACAATAGTCTAAATGTGGATATATCAGCGCCTTTATTAGGTGAAGTTTTGTCGCTTTATCCAACATCCAAATTCAGATTATACATGCTTTTCAATTTAAACATAGCTTGTTTGTACACTTTATTACAGTGATGTTCGAAAGTCAGGCCGCTGTCTAGGTAAACTCCCAGGTTCTTGGCAACATCGACCCATTGGATCAGAGTACCACCAATAGATAAATCAAAATTGGAAACAATAAAGTTTCTACTCCTCGCATTACCTACACAAAGTGCATGAGTTTTATTAGAAATAAAGAGTGATTCCATATAAGTTTGGTTGTGTGTACATATACTAGTGGGCCACTAAATATTATATTTACTTACTTTCCTCATCGTCAGATTCCATATGTTTAAATTTTGAAAGATTTTCTGTTCTCGAAGAAGGCCTCGAGAATGATCTAGAAGGAGGTCTGATATGTAATCGTAAAGGAGACCTTGATGACGATCTTGACGTAGGTCGTGATGGTTGCGAAACAGACCTGGAAGATGGTCTGGAGTTATGTCTACTTCTCGATCTACTTTGCCGATGTTCTTCAATATCTGACGTCCTGAGATATGGTATCAAAGGATGCTTAAGAGCACTACTTGAGCTGCTGGCATCGGAAAACTCCACGGGACTTTTTATTTGATCATGAGGTAGCACTGGTTGTGGTCTCTCGTAGTTTTGGTATCTAATGAAGGAACTTTTATATTCTAAAAGAAAAGAAATTGGATCAATAATTAGAAAAAAAACAAATTAATAAATTACCTGGCTCTAAGAACAGTGTGCCTTCTAGATGAAGATTTGTAGGCATTTTTGAAAACTGATACGGTCGCTGAACTTTAAAAGGTAAGAAGTTTTCTCGGTTTTCCGTGTCCATGTGAAAAGATCCTGCAAATATAGTTAATGCGTATATAATTAACATGTAAAACATGTAAAAATAGATAAAGAGTTCCCGTCATAGGACTAAGTTTGGCATTATATGTTTCTAGAGGTCTACATTGTATACAATTATAGTTTGGTTTGGCACATTAATATTTTATAATAATTCATCCAGTCGATTAAAATTACTTTAATGGACTTATGAATATACCGAAATTTGAAAACAACTTTAATATAATAAATAAATAATCCTCCATTTCTTATTATAGATTTACATTCCTTATAAAATCTTTACATTTCTAATATCAAACTTTTTATCTCTAAAATAAAATCATTTTTGACAAAAAGTATTTATGAAAATAAATAAATATGTAAGGGATATTTTCTCACTTCGATCTTCTGATATTAAATCTCAAAAAATTATTTTTCAATATACCGGGTGCGTCTCAAAAGTGGCTCACCCCCATAACTTTTTTTATTTTTTCAGATGAAAAAATGAGATTTGGTATAGTTAGTATATGACATAAATTAGGATTGATTGACGTATTCAATTGTTTTTGGTCACCTCCTCTTTCATCAGAAATGACTACAACTTTTGATTTTTATATGGCAGCATAGGCATATTTCTACATTATTCGATGGAAAATGACAATATGAATAAAATGACATATAATATGTCAACTTTTTCTATGACATTTTCGCATATGACTTATTTGAAATTGTAACATGCGGTTCATAACGACAATTGGACTCGAAATACCAAGTGTGTGGTACCAAATTATTCGCAAAAAAATGCTTTTTCCTATATTACTGTTTGACTAGCGGATCTGAAGCTACGGAAGGAATGCGAGAAAAAATAAATCGATATTGCCACGTTTATCTATAAAATTTCAAAATTGCCAGACATGAACTATAAATTTAATATATTTTTATTATATATAATGTGTTTAGCATATATTCTGACGTATATTTCTAAGGAATTTTAACGTAGTTCATATTGTTCGATATGTTTTATTTAATAACTTATTTCTCTTTCATTCTGTATAATCTGCTTATTATGAAAGGTGAAGATTTTTCAAGGATATCATTGGCAAACTGGCATCGCCGCGCATGGCCGCCTATTCATCGAACATGATTGGCGAGAGTACGTCACAGGATTTGTTACCACGCGGTTGCCATGGCTTTTACGCCTTTCCTATTGGCTAGCTTTATCCCCAACTTCACGGTCTCTTCTGAATAGAGTAGAAATATTGAATACTATTGAAACATCCAGTGGCTGTGTCATTCTTTTGATCATTATTACTTTCTTTCATTATTTTATACCGGTTATCCTAAACTTTATTCCTATATTTTTCGTATATTTAATAGTTAAGGTGTGTTTTATTGTTTTGTTATCTTGTTATAATGTTTTTCATTCGTAGTTTTTAATTATTAATATTAAGTTTGATCGTATATTTGTGTTTTAAAATGAATAAATTTGTTAAGGGTAAGACGCTACATAGCCAGACAAGAGAAATAATAGCTAATTTATATAGATATATAGTGTATATATAGGTAAGTAGAATAATAATAATAATATAATTATTAGAATATTAAAATTAAATATTGGCTAAAATGAAAAGCTCACATTTTACCTAAATATTTTAGCTAAACTAAAATAAATATAAATAAACGTGGATGAAATCTCATTTGGTTTATTTCCTTGTGTTCATAATAGGGTTTGCGACAAAGAAGCTACAGAGAGTTCGCTTAAGTTGCCGCTCAAACGTAAACTTGAGCGGATATCTCTTTATACTGGAGTTAGCGTATCGGCTATAAAAAAAATCACACAGAAGATAAAAAAAAGGCTGGAAAAATACTAACCCCGATAAAATGATATCCAGACCTGGGAAGAAACGACCACGTAAGACTGCTGTTGAAAAGCTCGACGACTTTGATTTCCAAGTGGTCAGGAATTTGATAAATAGATTTTATCTCGAACTCCACAATTAGAAAGCTCTTGCAAAAATTGCAGGAAGAATTGAATTTTCCTTCGGCAGGAAAAGGCTTAGGGGGTTAATAAAATCAAATTTTATATACACTTTTTTTGGCGTAAATGTCAAAATAACAGATAAATATTAATGGAGCGGCCCATTATATTGCAGAGAGAGATATAAGTATATACGCGAAATATCGCCAAGTATTATCTATTTGGATGAAACATGGGTAAACAATGACCTAACCTTTAAAAAGTGCTGGCGGAGCGATACCATATCTAGAGTAATAGGCAATATTGGATCTACTGGTGAGTAAAATTATGTTTTGTTTGCGCTTCCAAAGTTAACTATTTTCAAGATTTTTTTTGATGGAAATAGTTATATCTAAAATTATGTATTATAGAAAAAAATATAGTTAGTACAGATATATAAATAACTATACCTCAAGACTCAGTCTTGATCATCTGCTGATGATGCTAACATGGTTAGCGAAACGTGCGTCCAGTGTAAAAGTAAAAGTGTTTTGGTGTATTGTGCTGATTTAGTGTTTTATTTTGCTGTGTAACACTAAAGGTTCCAACCCCCAGCTGTAATTATTTTTTCTATTATATTAACAACACATAATAATAAAATGATTCAAAATATTTAAGGGAGCTTTAATAAAAGCTTTTTGTGTTTATCTGCTAACTAAACAGTAACGATTCAATCAGCATAAAGTTTTTTGAAAAAAATTATTAATCTGAATATTATATTTATGATACACATTATTTTCATAAAACACCGTACGCCCATGCCTATTTTATAAATGAAATTGGGCGTGTTTTGTTTACAACTGCGTTCCCCTGCCGATACCCCAGAGCTTCAGATCAGTTGATCACACTATAATGAGCCAAACTTGTTCCATTCGAAAAAATTGAGATATGATTAGTAATATGATTTGTGCATTTTTAACCGGCCAGGACAAGACACGAAAAACATTAGACAATCAAATCTCTTTTTCTAAGGCTCCTTGATTAAAAATTAGTGTTTGTAACACAGCCATGGCACTCTAGATTGAAATTTAAAATACGATTTATTTTTGAGCGAAAATATCAAAAATTGACATATGATGTGTCATTCTACTCAGAGTGTCATTTTCTATCGAATAAACTAGAAATATACCCAAGAAATATACGGTGCAATCTGAAAATCAAAAGTTGTAGTCATTTCCGGTGAAATAGAAAGTGATCAAATACAATTGAATATGCCAGTCAATCCTAATTTATGTCATATTATACTAACATACCAAATCTCGTTTTTTTTATCTGAAAAAAATAAAAAAGATATAGGCATGAACCACTTTCAAGACGCACCCGGTATATCTATTTACAAATATCACTAAAATCCAGAGAAATTGGGTAACAGCAACTGGTTTAAATCGTCAGCAAAGTATTATCTGTATTTGTACCTATCCTAAATTAATAATGTAGTTAATATAAGGAAATCGACAATCGGTAATTTCAGAAAATTTATAAATTTATATATTAACATTAAAAAATAGGTATTTAAAATAATTGAATTCCGGTTGTCTTGACTTGAGGGTAATTATATTAGGTAATTTTTTTACTGACTTAACTTACAGATTATCGTGATTTAAGTGAAAAATAACTTAACAATAAAAACGACTTAAATAACGTTATATTGATTTAAGTTTTTACAAAAATGACTTGACTTGATATAAAATGATTTAAGACTTACGTCTAAGAGCTAGCAACGTTTTCGAGAAAGTATTTTAAGACGTCTGGCTCTTTGATATATCTTTTACTAAGCTCTCTGGAACAGTATGCGGCCCGTCTGGCTGCCGATACCCGTTGCGTTCACTACTGCGCATCGGAAGAAGATCCTATATTTTTTATTAATTTAGTCCTATAAATTCTAGTATTCAATAGTTAATTCTAGTCTCCATAGCGCAGTGCGTAGAGTTTCCGACCACGAACCGATGATTCAGAGTTCGAATCCGGGTATTACTTTACTATCAGCATATAAATGAAAATAAAATAAAAAGTCTTTGTTCTGACCCGGATTCGAACTCTGAATCATCGGTTCGTGGTCGGAAACTCTACGCACTGCGGTATGGAGACATATTCGATTTATATTCAATATTAGAATTTAAAGGACTAATAAAAATATAGGATCTTCTTTCGCAACGCTTACCGGCAGCCAGACGGGCCGCATGCTGTTCTAGAGAGCATAGTAAAAGATATATCAAAGAGCCAGACGTCTTAAAATACTTGTTTTTCCGACGTTGCTAGCTCTCGTACTATAAGACATAAATCATTTGAACTTTATGGTGAATTTGACTTAAGATTTAAATCACTTTGAGCTTAGAAATTACTTAAAAAGTCTTTGAAAACTGACTTGTTGCAGTTCTGTTTTCAACATATCTCAATTAGTAAAATTTATGGGAAAACTGGTATTACTTTGATGTTACTGTTGCTCCACAAGTTTGAAAATAATTTACAGTTTTACCGATTTACCAATAAAATTTTTCTAAAGATAAACGGTTCCCGAGTTAAAGGTGTCGTCCTCTAATAGCGGACTACCATTTACCTGAAAGGTGCAAGTTGGTAAATCTTTTACACAATGGCGGCCGTATAACATTATCATAAGGGACAAAGCTGTTCCTATTTTCGGTCATGTGGTCCATGTCACCTTCAAGTCTAAGGGTGGTACCTTTCCGCTGCAACTCAGTTCTCTTTGTCAACAAATACCAAATAAAGCTTTCCGCGTAGTTGGTTATATGACTCAATTCACCTTCCAGCCTTAAATTTGTACTTCTTTTTACCAATTCAGGACGTCTCAATCTAAAAAAAAGTATTTTCCTAAAAAAATTTAACAACACAGCCTGGTATTTTACCGACTTTCTAACTATAATGATTTCGTGTACTTCTTGATGCAACGAGATAAAATAAGAAACTAACCGTAAAAGGTTTCTAGTGAGAAACTGAATTATTTCGGACATCCATTATCATTAATTTTACTAAAAATCGATGCAAAGTAGGAGCGGTGCCTGAAGAACAAGCTTCATCAAGACAATGACTGGGAAAGCTTTTTGAAGTAATTCTTAGGGTGCACTCTAAGGTAATTTTGCATGGGTGGAGCCTTTTATTATATGTAGAATTATTACCCGAACAGCATTGGACCAAATTATATGTATGGATTATTTTGATGGTTATCGAAATTTTTCCGCATTGGCGTTAAAATATTAATTTTGTGTCATAAAACTGAAAACGAATTATAAATTTTTAAATAGGTGTTCATTTATGTTAATGCTATTAAAATTTACAGTAATTTAGGTTTAGTTTATTTTCCTGATATGGAATGTATGGCCTTGTAGTATATTTAAATGGAACTAAATTGCATGGCTTACAGAACTCTGTAATAATTGTTTATAGTCTAGCGCATTCGCGATTTATGTTAAACAACAAAATAAATAACCCAATAAAATTTCGCTATGTTCAAATTTGATTTATTTGCTCTAAATTTATATCTACAATTTAGCAAAGCAATTGACTATTTATAAACAAACTTTACATTCTTTCACTGATTGTCTTTTCGAATGCTTAATACAATAACGTTTGTTTTGAAGAGTTAATTTTGAGTCTCTTCTTAGCTTGCTATTGTCCCTTTAAATGTGTTCAAATTGTGGGTTCTTCTGGGTTACGGCACCGTGTTTAATTTTAATTGCAGCTCAACTTGACTTTGATTTCATCGATTGCCGTTACATCTTTTTTTTTTTTTTTTTTTCATAGATGGGAAACGCCATTTACAGCCAGAGTGTGGGGTCACCTCTCACCTGAGTCATACCCACTAAAAACCCCATCTGTAGGAGTTACCTCTCCAATCTCGGAACCGCCTTGCGGCATTACTTCAAGACTGGAGATTGTTTCGCCACTTATGTCTGTGTCTGCCAAATTTTTATCTTTTCATCTTCCGGTTTTTTAAGCATAATTGCTTTCATCATCCTGGTAATTGCTTCACAGTTCTCTCTATTTTCCATCATAAGCTCGCCGACATTTTCCCTTGTTATTTTAACGTTGCATATTTGTTCCGCCGATGCTCTAGTCTCCAAATGCCTACTACACTCGAATAATGTGTGATTGGCCGTGTCTGATGCTTCACAATACCAGCATCTTGTGGATTCCGCCTTAGTTATTCTAAACAGGTACTCTCCAAAAGCCCTGTCATCGCCTGGGTGATGTAGTAGTCCGTTTTCGTCCACGTGTTGTTTATCCAAACCCTCACGTCCGGGATAAATATCTTAATTCGACCCTGGCACGCCTCCCATCTGTTCTGCCATTTGTCCAGTATTATCTTTCTGGCCTCTGATCGATACCCTGAGCCGTGCCTGTATATTAAATTTCTTTCCTCGATTTGTAGGATAATTGGGGGGATTTTTGCTAGAGCGAGAACAGCTTCTATGGAAACTGTACACGCCAACTGTATACGCCGACACTACGCGTAGGGCTAGCATTCTGTTAATTTTCTCGAGGACTATTTCATAGTATTTATAGTCTGTTGCCCTGCTCCAAATGGGCGAGGCGTACAGGATCATCGAATGCACAACCGAGGCAAGCATTCTCCTCTTTCCGTCACTGGGACCTCTAATATTGGGAGTGATTCTGGTCAGCTGTTTGATGGTATCAACCGTCCTGTCCTGATTTTAAGAACATGTGTAGTCATGCGCATCCCAAATCAAGCCAAACGCCCATATATTTTATTGCCTTTGAGGTCTGATGTGGCAATTTTTCCAACTGGATATTTAAGTTCGTCGCCTTGCGATGTCCTACCAGAACGACTAGTTCTGATTTTCTGGTGCCCAGATGTATGTCCATTCTATCCAACTTATTGGTTATAGTTGGGGCAGCTGTTTCCTTTGTATCTTTTCTTCGAAGATAGTGATGGTCGGGCGGTGATCAGGACAGCCAGATCATCCGCATAAGCAATCAGTAGATTACCTGGTCAATATCGACCCTCAGGATCTGGACATAGAAGATGTTCCACAAAGGTTGGTGCTAGAATGGACCCCTGCGGTACCCACACGTCATCTTGTGTTTTTGCCGTTTTCTGCAATTACATATCTTTTTTTGACAAGAAAGATTTAATCATAACGATGAGGTATTTACTGATCTTCATGCTCCCTAATTGTTCAACAATTTCTGTCCATGGGGCAGAATTGAATGCGTTTTTAATGTCTAATGTAAGCAGTGCCGCGTATCCCCTGTTCTTATACGATTTTGTTTTAATACGGTCTACGTTACTCGTAACAATGTTTAACGCGTCTATCGTAGATTTGCCTCTGCGGAACCCGTATTGGTTTTAGGTGTAGTCTGTTTCCATCCTCCAGTTCTTTCTCCAGTCTATCCCTCAGAAGACATTCTAACAGTTTGGCGCTTGCATTAATTAAACATATTGGACGATATTTTTTTGTCTTGACTTCCATCTTTATTAGGTTTCTCTGCTAGAACAAGTTTGGCAATTTTCACGAATTTGGAAACTGTCTGTTGATAAGACACTTGTTCAGGATCTCAGTGATTCTCAGGGGTCTTGCATAGCAGCAATTTTGATAACTTCCACCGGTATGTAGTCCGGGCCAGGAGCTTTTTTGTTTTTCAGTTTACTTGCTGCAGAACGCACCTCTTGTAACGTGCCAAAATTTCACTAAACTATTTTATTTCTTTTCTTTAATAATTTAACGCTAATTGATATTATTATTAGTCTGAAATATCCGATGGTAGTTCAATTCAGTAAACCAAAGAATAAATAAATCGTACTTACATGTTAACAAAAGTAATTATTCCATCCTTATTTTTTAACTAAACATATTTCACACTTAATAACATTTTTTTGCAGCACAAAACTAGTTTGATTTAATACAATTTAATATTTATTTTAGCCGAAATAGATAAAATAATTCTTTCCATACCGTTAATTCTGTTTATATATACTAAATACGTAGGTTAAAAATTTTTGAATTGAACTGTCAAATATTTATTTATATTTTTATTAACATTAACTATTAGGCAACCCAAAATATACTTTAATAAATTGATTATATATTTTTGTATTTTATTTAATCAACAGTAATTATTGAGCCTATTGTCACTTAGTTAAACTCATTAAATTTATGTTGCTCTATTTTAATTTTTTAGGTAGAATTTTCTAAGCATAATTGTCTTAAAAAGATATCGTATCGATCCGGCAAGTGAGTCATGCGCAATATCTCTAGATTGTTGTTATTTATTAATTTTTTGAATGTTTGATAAGCAAATTTCTATATAACTTTCATTAATCTCGTTAACTTTATTTATTCTATTAATTATATAAATTATTGATATTAACTTTATTTTCCTTTTAATATATAACTTTTTTCTTCATGTCTTTATTCAGCTCATGGTTGGCAATCCATATTTTATCAAGGGCTCGTGTTTTTATCTGGCTATTTCTTTGTTGCAAAAGGTTTTCGTTTTCTTGGAACTACCTTGGTTTTGGTCACTTTATGTTCAGCTAGTGTGAGGTACAGAGGCCTCTCGGTCATTTTGTCAAGTTTTTGATTTTTTACCCTTGTGGGGATTTTCGAGTGTGCCTCAAAAATTGCTGCAGCATCCTATCTTACCTTTGTTTTTGGACGGTGCTACGGTTTACCGGTGACGGGATTTTCACCTCAAAAAAGCTGACGTGGGTCAGCCAAGCAGCCCGCCTTTTTTTTTATTGAGCACCCCATTCCATCCGGGGGAAGAAATAATATTAATCACCTGAGGATTCGTAGAAAACCCTGAGTTAGCAGGGTTTTTTTTCGTCGGAGCCGAAGAGTTTTTGTCTGGACCGAAGAAGTTTTTTGTCTGGGCCGAAGAAGTTTTTTCTTCTGTGTTGAAGACTTCTCTCTGAGCCAGTTTTTTGTTGGAGCAGTTTTTTCGCTGTATCCATTTTACTTTTCTGGAGGAGTTGACAGTCGACGGTTGACAGTTGACAGCCGACGGTGTCTGCTTAAGATTGATTTGATTTAGAAGATTTTCAACTATTTGGTATCGTACAATTCAATTTTATTTTTTTCCCTATCTTACGATTTGAATTTCATTGGTGCGTACGAATACTGAACGTAGATAATTTTTTTAACATTATAATTTAATTAGAATAAATTTTCACATACTTAATTCTGTTGATAAAATAATATTTCATTTTTTTTCCTTTAATTTTTTTTTGTAAATTTAATACAGCTGACACAGTTTCTTTTTTGTCTCTATTTAAAAATTAAATCTATTCATTTTTTTATCGATATCTAAATTTTCTTGAACTGATGAATTCATGATTATTAGTTGATTATTTTGATTTATTTATTTAATAATTATATTATTAATTATTATTATTAGTGGAACTGGTTTGGTATTATTTATTTGATTTATTAATTTGTTGATTAATTTGATATATTAGCTGAATTTAGTTGCGCTGATATATACATATATATTTTATTTTGTAAATCTTACGTGATCACGAAAGGTACCTAGGTATTTACGTAATTTGCTACTTACGTATTGTGAGATATATTTTCCTTGGTGCACAATTTTTTTTTATTGATTTATTTAATTTACTATTTGCTATTTGGTATTTTCTATTTACTGTTTCCTATATTTTCCTTTTATATTTCAATAGAGGGTACTGAAACTAATCAGTTTGCATTATTTTTTTTATATTTCCTTTGGCCCTATGTCTACATAATTCTCTAAGATCTTGACTTTTTTTTTGTTTATTTATTTACTTATTTATGTATTTGTGGAACTTGTAAGGCCCTAAATACATCTTAGGG